GAGATCCAAAACTGGGACTGTTTTATGTGACTTTTAGGTACACCTAGAACAAAAATATTTGGTGTAAAAGGTTTGAAAGCATCCATAAGCATTCCGATTGTAAATAGTATTCATGAATCGTGAGGAAATAGCCTTGAAAGTGGGCGTAGGTTCAAGTTGAGCCATAAAATTGGAAGAAGATCGACCATTTAAATTTTTTTTTTTTAAAAAACAAAAATAGCATTAATATATTAGTATAATTAGATTATAACTAAAGGACTTCACCACTGTTCTATCAACTTAAATTTCTGACATCTTCCTTGCCACACCCTAAAATGTAGGGGTGTTAAAAAAAAATCAATGAAATCGATAAACCGATTCAATCCGGTCCAGACTGCGGATTTCCAAACTGTTGATTTGGTTTGATTTTTCTAGTTATGGTTCCGGTTCTAGTTTTGAAAATGGTGAAACAGTTCAAATTGGTCCGGTTTCCGATTCTAAGGCTTTGGTTACGATTCCGAACAGAACAAAACCAAACCGAACCGGACTATCGCATATTTGTTTATTATTTTTTATATTTTTATATAAAATATTTCTTATAAGATTTGAACATTAGCCATCATCATTGTGAAATTGATAAAATCTAACCAATTTAACCAAACTAATTATTATTATTAATTTATTTACTAACATAAAATATATATCATATTTATTGTTGTATAAAATTTCTAGAACCGTAAATCAAACCGAACCAAAACCGGTTTCTATGATTCGGTTCTAGTCCAATTCTACAAGTTAATAGTTCCAATTTTTTGGAATCGCAAAAAACGATTCTCTTCTCGATTTATTCTAAATCGGACCAATTCGATCCATATACACCTATACTAAAGTGTGACTGTTAGACTATTGGACCATATCCCAATGTCTAAAGTTGGACTTCTCTAGCATTATAATAAGGATGTCACTTTTATGTGCCCTTCATATGATGAGTAATGGTGAGACTTATTTTGATAGACATGTTCAAAAGAGTGTTTGATTCATGATTTAGAATCTTTATTTTTTCTTGAAAATAAAGAATTTGTGCGAAAACTATGCATGCATATTCTTCCTATTAAGGAAAATTTTGTCTTGAATACAAGTTCAGTATGTTTGGTTCACAATTGCCATTATCAATTCTATGCCAGCCTTCAAACTAATCAAGTGGTCTTTACCCCTGCAAGTAGGAATTGAACTGAATATAGATGATTGCAGGAAGTTGGGAGGAGATGGAGGCTTTGGAGGATTATTCAGAGATTCACAATGAAACAAGCCTTGAAGCTGAACTATGGGTCATATACAAAGGTCTGACAGTGTTGCCACAAAAGGATTGAACAAAGTAATCATTAAGACTGATGCTATGTAAGCTGTAAAGCTATTGAATGAGGAGACACAGGCAAATTCACCATACAAAGGTCTTATGGAAGATGCCAAGATTATTTTGCAAGGATGTGAATGCACTGTGCAACATGTTTTGAAGGAGGGAAATCTCTATACAGATGTATTGGCAAAGCTTGGAGCTGAGCAACCGGAGGACATCTTAGTGGTGAATGAACCACTAGCTGAAATTAGGAGTCTGCTTGTAGTAGACATCATAGACATATCTAAGAAAAGAGCTTAAGCCTGTGTTGTTTGTTGTTTTTCTAATGTACCTGAAAAAGTATGTTTGGTTCGTCCGAACCTTAACTTGTGGCATTTGTCCTCTGGTGAAATAGACATGGAGGTGACGGATAGGCACTTGATGGTTGTTCATTTGCATGGACCTTAGACTTGCAATGAAAGCTTGCATACCGAGAAAATGGGAGATATGGTTGGAGAATCGAATGATTGAAAAATCTTATTAGGAAGATGAGTGTATCAATAAGTCTTCTCCACTTTTTGGTGTACTAAAATGTCCTATTCACTTTTAATTGTTACAAGATTTTTTTAATTTTATTTTTTTACATAAAAAGGTCACTAATTGTCAAATTTTAGCTACAGATTTAGAAAAACGTCACTAATTATTAATTTTAAGACTTTTTAATTTATACAAACACTTGTAAAATCTAATAATGCACAGGACTTGTAAATAATTAACCCTTTCATAGAATTGTATTTCTTAGAACATGGTGTGTATGAAATAATGGGTTGGGCTTCTTAGACTTTTCCGATTCTGAAATGTTTTAATTTGCAATACTTTTGTTTTTGTTGATCTAGTGGCGGAAATTTCAATAAAAGATAAAACTGTTGGCTAGGCAAAAACATGAGGCCTATCGTCATGCTCATCCCTTGTGCATCTACTTGTTGGGATATTGATGCACACACCAAGGAAAAAAATATATAAAAAATTATATAGTTTGATATAAATTTACTTACGTTTATGCAGGGATAGATCTAAGATTACCACTATTGGGATGCAAAAGTATGTTTGGGATACAAATCTTTATAATTTTTAATTATTTTAAATTTTTTAGTATAATATATGATATTTTTAAAAATTTTGAGGGTACGGTCGCCCCAAAAACACACCCTATATCCATCCTTGTGTATCAGAGAGATAAATTTACTATAAACTGTAGATTTTTTTTTTTTTATCGGCAAATAAATCTTTATTGATGAGAAACATACAAAATATGGTAAAATATATCAATAAAAAAGAGTTTGGATCTAGTTCAAGCTCCAAGATCCAAGCTGGTGAAAAACCAACACACAGAGCAGAAGCAAATACAACTACTTGAATTTACCACCCATCAACAGTAACAAAAATTCTTGTTTTAAATTATGTATGAACATATATACTCATAACAAGAGCCGATGGAAAAAGAATCATGTATAGAAGACAATTACAGTGACTCAATTTTCTCGATCTCCTTACCGACAAACTCTTCTAATCCAATAAAATGCTTTTGTTCATTTTATTCTCTTCTTGATTTTGTGATTCTAGTTTCTTTGCAGGGGTTTGATGCTTTCCTAGTAGTGGTCCCGAGTGTTTCTTCATTTGGGTTTGGACTTTGGATTGTCTCATATTTGGTGTTACGTTTTTATTCTTAGCAATCCCGTTTAATAAAATTCCTTTCAGTTGTACTTGTTTTCGCACTTTTATTTCAGTGAGGCTATGAGTTTTTAGATGCGAATCCAACCCGAATTCAGAGAAGTTTATGGTGCTAATTCTTTCATGATTGCCACTCCGCTGACTATGACGGGGATCAAGTTGCCCAGTTAGCTCGCGGGGGTCTAGGGGGCAGCGCCCCTTGACGGATCTAGGGCAGCGCCACGGCGGGGTTGAGAGGCAGCGCCCCTGAAGCAAAATGCAAAAATGCATTCAAAGTTGTCTGTCCGCTCGAGCGGCGGTTTGGGCGCTCGAGTGGAGAATCCTTAGTTCCAGAAGTTTGATCGCCTGCAAAAATACTGGCAGTTGCATTTTTCCGCTCGAGCATAATTCCTGCGGTTGAGCGTCGGTCCGCTCGAGCGGCCATTCCGGCACTCGAGTGGAGGTTGCGGAACAGATTGCTATAAATATGTGATCAAGTCAGATTTCAGAGTTACGCTTTCAAATCTTCTTCTTGGATATTAGGGTTTATTTCTGGGGCTATTTTTCTAGTTTTCTTTGATGTTTGATTGAGTATTCAACTCATGGTTTAAGAAGTATACATCAAGGGATTATTTGTTTATTCTATACAAAAGAGAGATTTGTCATTTGGTAGATTCTAGAGAATTTGAGCCTGAAACTTTGGTGGATTTTGGAGTGGCTCATCGTCGTGATTCGACATTGGGGTTGTGGATTCAACGTTGGGTAAGACAATTCCGAGGTGAAGACAGGGTTGGAAGAGGCACATAGGGGTTGATTCAATTTGGGCGTGGATTCACTAGGTAATTGAGAGTATACCTGTGTAATTCCTTTATGTCTTTTTAGTGGATTGTTTTGTGACTTTTACTCGTGATTTTTCTATCACAATTGGAGGCACTCCAATTGTGGTTTTTCACGTAAAATCGTTGTGTTAATTTGTCTTTGATTGTTTGAGTGAGATTGCTATTTACTGATTAAAATTGATACATAATCACAAATTAATACCTAGGAAATTTCTAGATTTTTCATTTGGTGTTGTCGGTACTTTCCTTTTTTTTTTTAAAAAGGTTTTTAGCCAATGCTCTTCTATTTTCCATGTCTGGTAGTACTTTATATGTGAAAACTCTATGCTTATTTTCATTATAAATGCAGTTCTTATATTTCCTTAAAAAATGAAAAAAAAGAAAAAAAAAGAGGACTAAGTATCTCGTAATTAACAGATAGTGAGCTTTGTAGCTTTGCCTCCATTGGTTATTGTTATCAATAGGTCAAAAAACAAATTGAAGACTTATTTGGTATTTTGGAAACGAGTAATGCCATGGATTAAGAATTCAGACACATTAAAATATTCAAAAAATAGTATGTAGCCCATTTTAAAATTTATATTTAGAATGAATCTGGATCACATATTTTCTTTTTCTCATATTTTGTTTGTGCCTAAATTCTTAATTCTTAACATTCCTGATTGAAAATATCACATGACCAATGTCTACTCAATAATAAGAAAAATATGTAATGACTTTTCAAGAAAAATAAGAACAAACAAAATCATAACACACAAATGCACTAAAATCTTCAACTCACCTAACAATTTTGGGTGATCAATAATTCATATCTGAACACAGATCCATATTAGTGAGCGGTCACTTAGGGGCATTTGACCAGTGGTGCTCCCTCTACTTGAAGAAGTTATCCCCTGATGCTGTGTTTGGTTAGAGAATTTGAAGAGGAATTTGGAAAGGGAAAGGGAAAGGGAAAATGTGTGTAAAATTAGGTGAAATATAGGCATATTTTATTCACATTTTACATACATTTTTCATTTCTCTTTCCAAATCTCTCCCCAAATCCTCCAACCAAACACAGCATAAAAGTCACCAGTGGCACCAAATTCTTCATGTTTGAAGAAGTCATATGATTGGTTTAGAAATAGAGACCCAACCACTACACATTTCAGGTTATAAAACGGATCCCAAAACATATTAATTCATACCTTATTCCAAAAAGATGGGTTGTAAGAAAATTTTGTTAGTTGTTTTGGAGGCTATTTTTATTGTTATGCTTCTCCTTCCTTTTCATCAAGTGGTGGCCTCAAGGGAACTTCTTGGGACGTCCCACTTTCTAGTTTCTGGTAAGTCTACCTTCCTTATGTTTTTTTTGTTTATTATTTATTTTATCTTGATATTACGTTTATTTTGAATGAAAAAAATGTTACTATTACGATATTTGTGAACTTGATTTAATTTTAAAACTGATTTGCTAAAAAAGAATTGATAAAATAGGGTTACATATACTAATATTTCATTTGGACTGTCTTTTTAAAGATTTTCATATTTCAAAATTAAATTTCACTCGGATATGATTAAAAGATATATCTAAAATTTCTATTTTTCCATTTGCGCATAATTTTTTTTTAAAACTTAAAATTATAGATTTGGTTAGATGAGTCAATAATTTTATGCCATGTGTATGTATGAACTTTTAAAATGAAAAATGAAAAAATTATATTAATATTTTGAAACTTCTTCTACTTTCTAAATGAATATATATAGATGTAGATTTCTACCATGAGCGATTTTTACCGTGGATACAGAAAACTTGTATAAATATGAATCTTAATTTTGGACTAACATATGTTATTTGTCATGCTCAAACAGACATGACAGTGATGGATACCACAGAGATGAAAGAATATCATTTAAAAACTGATCCTTGGAAAGGCAACTACTTCGCTCCAGCTGCTCCTATGATTTGATTCTCGTTCATCTTTATCCTAAATAAATAATTCAGTTTGCCTTTTTTGATTTTTTGGTTTTGGGTTGAAAATTTTGTTTGCCAATAGTCTACATGCTTGCATGAAATTTTGACTTGCAATAAAAGCTTTCCCACTGAGAAAAAAGGGACATATTATTATTGTATTTTGTAGAATATGATGGTTACTATGAAATAAAATTATTTTGCCGATCAATAAAGTCTTTCTTTTGTATATCATCAATAAAGTCTTTCTTTTAAAAAAAAAAAAAAAAAAAAATCAATTAAATGGTAAATCTTACATACTTCAATATTTAAATTCACAAATTTTTTTTTATTAATCTATAAATATTTTCTCAAAATGTCACTGACGTACTTCCTTCAAAATTTAACAATAAATAAATAATATTCACTCTTCTTTCAGCCTCTCACAAATTTCTTGTGAGAAACTAAATACAAAAATCGAAATGTGAAATTAAAAATGTATCTAGTGTGAATGTAATTGCTTAAACTTTGAATTATCAGTAATTGAGGTGAAAACACAAATGCATTTGGTACATACATGGTTGATATTATTGTTATGTTAGGCTGAGTTGGAACTCACGAGTGCTTAGTAAATGTCCTTTTTTTTTTTATTAAGAAATGGGTATATTATAAATGAGCTGTGATTGAGGCCTCGAAATTCTTGATCTTTGTTTAAAATATAAATTGTTTCTTATAATTTAAAAAATTACAAATATCTCCTTGTTAGTATTTTTTATTTAACAGAATTAAGTAAAAAAAATGAAATTCATAATTGTTCTCCTTTACAATAATAAAATTATCTAAATTATTAATTGAAATATATTTCTAACATCATTAAAAACTGTTAATTGAATTGATAATTTATTAATAAAATGAGTAATTTGTTATGAAATAAGAAATCACATTAGAAGAAATATAATTTTCAAAACTATAAAGAACGATTCGTATTTTAATTAAATCTTAAGAAATGTATTTATAATTTACTTTGAAGAAAAACAAAAGGGATATAACTGCAAAGTGAGTGCAGTTATAAGTTTTTCCCACTGTGCAATTATTTCCCAAAAAAACAAACACACATTGTACAATATTGTATCTCTGATGAAATTGTGTTGTAGGATTTCAATCTTTGGAAAATGTCTACTGATTTTTAGATCTCACTCAGGTTAAGCATAAATTTTAATAAACATTTGAAAAGAAAAAATGAAATAGTGTGTAAAATGTGAGTTTGGAGTCTAGCTAAAAAAACCTATATATATATATATATATATATATCTTTTATTTTATTCCATTTTCCTTTCTATTTTTTTTTTCTCTTCACAAATATCTTTTCAAATTTAAAATTTAAATACAGCGTAATCCTCAAATATTCTATATATATAATATCATAGAACATACTTTTAAATTTTGTTTGGATTTTAAATTTGTGGAAGCAAAAAGAAAGGGAAGAAAAAAGTAAATGAAACTAAAAATTAAAAAAAACCCAAATTACTTTTTTTTTTTCTTTACAAATTCATAGAAAAAGGAAAAGGAGAAGGAAAAGAAAAGGCAAATGAGGCAGAATCTACATTTTTCATTTTTTTTTTTCTTTCATTTTTTCCTCCACAAATTCAATAGTTACAGCCTAAAATTTTGTCTAAAATGTTTCTAATTTCTATAATGGAAATGAGCAAAGTCACCCTCAACTTCAAATCCTATGTTTTAAGATACAAAAGAAGAAAAATTATATAAATACAGCAATGAAATATATGTGTCTGTGTGTTTTTGTGTGTGTGTGTGTGTGTGTGTAAAATTGTGATCGGGGTTGATCCCTGAGATGAATAAAAGATGGTTTGGTGTGCAAAGCTATATGGTATGAATGGAATTTGAAAAAGATTAAAAATAATGTGAAAGAAAAATAAAGAAAGAAATAATAAGAATAAATTTGAAATCAAAATGAAAGATGGGGGAAATAAGGAAAGTGGTTCACGTGGTTTCTTGTCCCACTGTTTTGTGAATATCGGTAATGGGGTTCGGTATATTTTTTTTTTTTTTTTTTTTTTTTTTGGATATTTTTTTTTTTTTGTGGGTTAATAATAATATGAATAACAATAATATATGAAGGAGGAAAGCAGGTGCGCTGGTGGGTTGGAAAGTGAAAAAAATGAGAGAGAGAGAGTGGGGTACATGATTATGATGATAAAATGAAAAAAAAGTGGTTGTGTGTAAGGCGTATACTTGCTTTATTTGAAAAACAAAATGTAGCGGACGTGAATATTAAAATAAAAAGAAAGGATGTGTGTGCTTGTGTATGCATGTGCTGTGTCCATGGTGGAGCAGTGTGCATATCAGTGTGGGTATTTTTTATGTTATTTTATTTTAATTTTAATTTTTTTTTGTTGTCGAAGCTGCCGAGAGAGTGAGAGAGCTCTGTTAGAGAGAGAGAGAGAGAGAGTAATTTGTGGCATTTAAGTCCAGCTGCTCTTCTCTTCCATGTACACCAACCAGGGCTCAATACTCTTATACTGATGATAAAAATGCGTCATAGCCACCACCAAATCCTTCACCACAAACATAGGGTTGGGTCGATCTCGTTCTTGATCTTGATGAGGGCGTCGAGGAACCCCGAAAACCCTAGCAAACCCGAGCTCCAGGACTTCCAGATCAACCTCAAGGAATGCGGTCCCATGGTCCTCGACTTGTTGAGCTTCGACCTCCGATGCGTGGGCTCGGATGCATACCAGCTTCGCCGCCGGGGAGGACTGAACCCTAGATATTGCTCGACGGACTAAACCAGTCGCCACAGTGGACGAGCATTTCGTCGAGAGAGATCGGAAGGGTGGTGTCGTGGCCGTGGACAACCATGGAGGTGGAGAAGACAAAGGAGGCAGTTGCGAGACTGGTTTTGACGAAATGGGTTTCAAAAAGGAAGTGAAATGATCGTCTTTTTCCGGCATGTCACTCCGGCACCATCCAAAAGCAATTTTCTCTTTGATCTGAAAGAGAATGAAAAGAAGGCCTTGAATGATCTAAAATTGAAGCTCGAAGCCGCTATCCTTGGAAACAATCTCTTCAAGAAAGAAGAGCAGCCCAAAGAGATTGCAAAACCAGCAGAGAAAGTGGAAGAGAAGGAGACAGAGAGTGTTGTTGAATCAGTGAAACAAGAGGGTGAAGAAGAGTGAAGGTATGTGTAGAAAATTCTAGCGGACTAGGTTGAGGTCCGGCGGGCGGCCAAGGCGAGGATGCCGCCCACCGGTGAAGCGAAAAATACTAAGTAGATTGTGACTTTTTTGTGTGCGACAAATATTACTTCTTTCCTGGTTAAGAAATTTCACTGTTGCCATTTGTAGAAAATTTAATGTATAAAGAGAAATAGAGAATTGTATTATTGATTGATATATTGATCTATATTACAATGATTCATGATTCCTATATATAGAAGAGGGTGAGTGTGTAGTAGGTAAGGAGTAGGTATAAAGAGAAATAGAGAATTAGAGGAGGTAGGTATGTAGTAGGTGGAGTAGGTGAAGTGGGTGGAGTAGGTGTAGTGGTAGGTTTTAACACTATTGGTGAAACTTTTGATAATTTGTACAAAAGAAAAAAAAGAAGTTAAACTTGTTTAGGTGTAAGTAAGTTGTCGCTTAGCTTTCTTGTTGCACAAACAGAATGTCCTTGAAGCAATAATTTAAACAAAAGAGTAGGAACTTTTTGTCCATACGTATTTAAAAGTTTTAAATTGAAAAAAAAAATTATAAATTGTAATTTTAAAAAAATCTCACTTTGTTTTAATCAAATAAGGTGAAAGATTCAAATAGGCTCGGACATTCTTCAGTCCACAATCTAAATTCAATGGTGTTGTTTGATCCCGTGAGTTTTACTATGAGTTTATTTCGATGATTTAAATTGTTCATTTTTTATGACTCTCTATATATATCATTCATAAGAAAATTAAATCGATCCGATAATTATAATAATATTTTCATTTGATCAATTTGAATGTGCCATGCTTTCAAGAATCAATCTTAACTTTCACTGATGAAGTCCGAAAAAACTCCGAGCATACTGAACTGGATACATAAAACAATAACTGGATCGTCAAACTTATTGTGGTAGTGCACTAATGCTATTGTCCAAATATTTTGCCATGAAAAATGTTAAGAGCCTATATAGTGTAGATGAAGACTTGTTGTGTTGTGAGTTACAATTATAATAAATTTCATTCACACAATTTGAATTCTGAGTAAATTCTTATTTCTTTTATTTTTATTTTTTTCTTGTAAATTTGTAGTGTTGGTGATTATAATTACTTCCAACAAAATAGCTTGATCAATAATGAAAATTTCATCTGCTCATCCCTTGTGCATTCACTTGTTGGGATTATTGCATTTGCATATCTGTGTACGGTACAACCATGCACATATTTTTTGTATCTATCTATACTACTATATATGTGAATGTTGGAGTTAGGGTCCACGTCTTATCTTTTTGGATTTTTTTAAGACATCCATATATAGTAGTTGTTAGGTTTTTATTTTTAACAATCCCGTTTGACAAAACTCCTTTAAGTTGTATTTGTTTTCACACTTTTTATTTTAGTGAGGCTCTGAGTGTTTAGATGCGAATCCAATTCGAATTGCGCTTTGCAGAGAAGTTTGTGATGTTAATACTTTCAAGATTACCACTTCGCTGATTATGACGAGGATCGAGCTGCCCGGTCAGCTCGCAGGAGTTCAGGGGGCAGCGCTCCTTGGCGGGTCCGGGGCAGTGCCACGGCGGGGTCGAGGGGCAGCGCCCCTGAAGCAAAATGCAAAATTGCATTCAAAGTTGCCTGTCCGCCTTTGCTCGCTCGAGCGAAGAAGTCCTCGCTCGAGCGAAGGCTGCGCCTGGCCAAAAACCTGAAAGAGATGAATGTACGCTCGAGCGAAGGGTGCGTGGCTCGAATGAAGCCACTTGTGGAAAACACGTGTTTTTGGTTCCTCGTTCGAGCGAGAGAGTTTTCGCTCGAGCGAGCATCGCGATTAAGATTTCTATAAGTACGGGTTTCTGTCAGATTTTAGGATGACTTCTCCAGATCTTCTTCTTGAGTTCTAGGGTTTATATCTGGGGATATTTTGCTAGTTTTCTTTGATGTTTTGATTGAGTATTCAACTCATGGTTTAAAGAGTATACATCAAATGATTATTTGTTTGTTCTACACAAAAGA